ACTTAACAAATGCCTCATTGAGCAACATAAATTTTCAGCTCAATTGTGGTCATAAGTCGAGGACTTCCTGTGCTTTTCAAAATCACCATTGACACTTGCATCTGGTCAATTCACTCTCAAGCTACTTTGGCTCTTCATGCAAAAAGTAGACAGCTGAAAAAATATGCTTTTTTAAATGAAGTAATAATGCATCTAGTAGTGGTCCAAACAAAACATTGCGAGCAATGGCTAATAAAGCTCGTGGGAAGATTTTTAAGCTAAAACTTGAAATACAGTTGCTTGCCACTGAAGAAAATGGATGTTGCTTCGGAACAAACAAGAATACAAGTATCTCAATTCTACTCTTCGGTGGCTAACAGGCTGGATGGAAGGAGACAATGCAAGTAGTCCAGTGGTGGGTTGCTCTCGGTTCTATAGAATCGGTAATAAAACCGGCAGGAGGCTCCGCCCACCCACCATGATGTCATCATCTGTGTGTGCGCTCCCGCTGCGAACCAATAGTAAAGATAAGTGGAACCCACCCCTGAAGTAGTCCTGGCTTAGTGACCCCTCATTTAACAACCATATAACAGTGAAGGGAACTTACAACCAGTCTTTGAAGTGGTGGCCAACGTAGCATCTCCATGATCACAATTTGGGCATTTGGCAACTAGCTTGTAATTATGATGGTTGCAGTGTTCCTCAATCCTTTTTATGGCAATCATTTGCAACCTTCACTGCCAACTTCCCACAGGCGAAGTCAATGGGAAAGCCGGCAGGAAGTCACAACTCACTCCTGCTGCTTTTTCTGCCAAAGAGCCTCTGGGTGGGTGACGTGGGGAACTTCTACTCCACCTTTGGGTTGCAGCCTTCTATGTGGGGGGCTGTTCCACCACAGAGATTGCCTACTGGGCCCTGCGAATTGTTCGTGGGTAAGCTGTTCCCATAGTGTCTGTTTCAGTGGTGAAATCTAAAATTTGTTACTACCGGTTCTGTGGGCGTGGCTTGGTGGTGGGGGTAATGTGACTGGGTGGGCGTGGCCAACTTTTTTTTTCTTTTAAAACCATTTTTTCTACAACCTCTTCAGCGAAGAGGTTGTAAAAAAATGTTTTCAAAAGGCTCTGACGATCCCAGCTGAGTTGCCTGATCGGCAGAGGCTTTTTTTCTTTTAAAAGCCTCTGCCGATTAGACAACTCAGCTTGGATCATCAGAGGCATTTAAAAGAAAAAAAACCCCTCTGCCAATCAGGCAACTCAGCTTGGATTGTCAGAGGCTTTTAAAAGAAAAAAAGCCTCTGCTGATCAGGCAACTCAGCTGGGATCATCAGCTGACGATCCCTTTGACGATCCCAGCTGAGCCACGCGATCATCAGAGGCTTTTTTTTAACTTTTAAAAGCATTTTTTCGGCCGAAGAGGTTGTAGAAAAAATGCTTTTAAAAATTAAAAGAAAAAGCCTCTGATGATTGTGCGGCTGAGCTGGGCATGGGGGGGGGGGAAGGGATTTTTGCTACTGGTGCTCCGAACCACCCGCCTCCATTGCTACCGGTTCGGGTGATCTGGTCTGAACCGGGAGCATTTCACCCCTGGTCTGTTTTCAGTGCTGTCTCCACTGTGCAGTTGGTGTCCGGCTTGGTGTACACTATGCTCACCCAGGCTGTGTACCAAGAGATCTGCAGGCACTCTAATGCCACCAGGAAAAGCAGCAGCAGTATCACATGGTGTGACAGCCCTGTAACTTCTGAATCCATGAAACAAACAGGCCAGTGGTGAAATCCAATTTTTTTTAGTACCGGTTCTGTGGGCGTGGCTTGGTGGGCGTGGTGTAGCTTGGTGGGCGTGCTTGGTGTGCATGGCAGGGGAAGGATACTACAAAATCTCCATTCCCACCCTACTCCAGGGGAAGGATACTGCAAAATCTCCATTCCCACCCCACTCCAGGAGACGGATACTGCAAAATCCCCATTCCCTCCCCACTCCTGGAGGAAGGATATTGCAAAATCTCCATTCCCACCCCACTCTGGGGCCAGCCAGAGGTGGTATTTGCCGGTTCTCCGAACTGCTCAAATTTTCCACTACTGGTTCTCCAGAACCTGTCAGAACCTGCTGGATTTCACCTCTGAAACAGGCCAGCAAATATAAGATCTTGCACCTACAATGAGAGATGTCTTGTCTGCCTGTTTGCCTGATACATGGTTTCAGTGGTGCAAGCAAGAGTTTCTGGGTTCATCCCTCTTCCCAAAGAGAAAACCAGTGCCTGAGACTTCAAGTAGGAGATGGTGACTAAACTTGCTCAGGTTGTCCCTTTCCTACTTCTCCTCTGGAGTACCAGAAGGTTTCCAAGCATTTCAGGCCACTGAGCATGAGATGAAGCTTGGGAAATATGCTTTTTTCCTGCTCTAATTGGATTCCATGAGGTTACATTTCAATGCAAGAAAGGCAGTGGTGGGATTCAAATATTTTTACTATTGGTTCTGTGGGCATGGCTTGGTGGGCGTAGTGTGGCTTGGTTGGCGTGGCTTGGTGGGCATGGTAGGAGAAGGATTCCCATTCTCTCCCCACTCCAGGGGAAGGATACTGCAAAATCCCCATTTCGTCTCGATCAGCTGGGACTCGGGAGGCAGAGAATAGATGGAGATGGGGCCAGTCAGAGGTGGTATTTACCGGTTCTCCGAACTACTCAAAATTTCCGCTACTGGTTCACCAGAACTGGTCAGAACCTGCTGAAACCCACCTCTGAAGAGAGGGACCTGAACAAAGCATGCTTGCCTAAAAAGGAAAGCTTGCCATGAGCATGACTTTTGACTTCCTGCCAGCTTCCCCAGTGATTTTGCTTGTTGGAAGTGGGCAGTAAATTGCAAGTTGTGGTCATGTGATGTTATAGTGAATAACTGCACATTGCAGGCTTAATGACTGCAACTGAGATCACCAAAATTTCCATCATAAGTTGGCGCAGTCACATAATTTTTCATTTTATAGCTGGGTTACTTAATGTAGTTTCAGTCCAATTACTCTCGTTAGCTGAGGACTGCTTGAACATATCTTTCATAAATGTGGTTTCCTAAAGTAGCACCTAGCCTTAAGCCATTGTTTTTGTTGGAATTTTAGATGTACACCTGTAACATCCGAATTATAAAAATTTCTAACGGATAATGAGCATACATTCTATAGTTAAGCTTTAGCATTTATTGGGGGAAAAAAAGGTAAAAAAAATTGGCCCTTCTGTCTAGGGTTAATAAATCTTCTCAGTTGAAAAAAAAAACTGTTTTATTTTTTAACTCTGTTTGTATTAAAACCATTCACTTTGCCTTCAGGGGTCAAAACAATTCACAGCTACCTGTTAATAATTTTTGAAAAATTAAAGGTTTTGGGGGAGAGTATTTGATGATGCTGAAATGAAACTAATTGGTCAAGCAACTGTCATTCTTAGATTGCTGCGGTATATGCAAATTCACTAAATATGCATATATATTAAGCCACCAGCAACTGCATATGCTGATTCCAAGGGAGAAAGAATGAAAATAACACTTTGAGGCAAAATGGCTGTAATTGTCAGAAAGCATCCCATTGTTTATACATTTTCATAGCTTTTTACACTTTTTTTTTCTTTTTCAGATGGACTTGTTCTTTAAAAAAAATGTGAAAAAGAAATTTCAGAAAGACAGCCCACGGCTGAGCTGAGTTCAGAGATGTCTTATATTTATTTAACCATTGCTACAAAAACTTTGACTGGAAAAGAAATACATTCATTTTTGCGATGAAAAATCTTAAATCAGGCCTAGGTCTCAATACCTGTTTGGCTATAACAGTTGTGAGATCATTCAGAAAATTTCATACTCTCTATCTCACCAGTTCTAATGAAAAGGAAAGTCTTATCTGCCATTCATCCTTGGATATTGGCTAGAACTGACGCACTGCCATAAAATAATGTTGCAAGTAAAGGAACATTCTTCATCTCTTTGTGTCATCTTGTATCCCCAGAACCAGCACAAGAGCATTTCTTAATATTACTGTGGGTAGGCTTTCAGGAACATCATAAGGAGAAAAGTTTCTGCATTATTCAATTTATGTTGGAAATAGCCCAGAATTGGTTGAAAGATGGTGGCTATATAAATATAATAAACAAACAAACAAAATGACCCAAGATTATTAATCCCATTTCTTTTTTATACCCAATTATCAGTTTTGGCCATTGAAGTTGTGTAGTGGCTGGCCAGAATGTTCCAAAAATGTTAAGATCCTACCTTATGCCCCCAATCCATTAAACTTATCATGTAAGAAACAGTGCACAGGATGGCTGGTAGTTGAAGAGAAACAGAACATCTTGATCTCCTTTATGGCTCAACACAGTACAGTAGTCCTCAATTTACAACCATAACTGAGCCCAAAATTTCTGCTGCTATGCAAAACAGTTGTTAAGTGAATTTTACTCATCTTATGAACTTTCTTGGCACAACTATTAAATGAATCACTACAGTCGTTAAGTTAGTAACGTGGCTGTGAAGTCTTACTAAGTGTTAAGTGAATCTGGCTTCCCATGGACTTGGCTTATCAGATCACACGATCCCCGAAACACTGCAACTGTCGTAAATATGAGTCAATGGTCAAGCGACTGAATTTTGATCACCTGGGGATGCTGCAATTGTTGTAAGTGTGAAAAACGGTCATAAGTCACTTTTTTCAGTGCTGTTGTATCTTCTGAACGGTCACTAAACGGATTGTCGCAAGTTGAGGACTACCTATATAAGTGAATTGTGAGAAGAGGAAGGGTCTCTCTTGGTCTGTTCCTGACAGAGCCAAAGATCAAAACGCACTATCCTCCATGAATTAGCCACAGTGATACTAATATTTGCTGGTAAATTATTTGCAGACTTCTTTAAAAGGTTGCTTTGGATAAAATAATCTGAACGGAGCTAGTTAAGTTCTCTTAGCTTCCTTGATATCAAGCTATAGCACAAATTTATATCTGAAAACACTGGGGACTTTCATTGAAAAGTCAGTCAAATCCAGAAAAGGTAACTTACCATCCAGAATTGCCCATTGCCCATCTATCTCTGTGTGCTTCAGATAGGAATCTTCAATCGTTGGGTCATAATCTGGCACGAAGATTTTCTGGAAAAACTGAATGGTGAGGGCACTTTTCCCGACACCCCCATCTCCAACCACCACTAATTTATAAGTGGGCAGGTTTTCACTTGGCACAGCACTGGTAGCCATGGTGTCCAATGGGCCAAATCTAGAACAGAAACAGCATGTTTGAAACAGTGTGGATTGGCAACAGCATGTTGACTGCTATTATAAGATGTATAACCTGTCATCCATTCAAATCCAATTGAAATAAAATATCAAAGCAAACTTTAAAAAAATGCATAGACACATTATTTTAAAAATACTTCAAAAGTCCAACTTAAGAGCCAAGGTGGCTCTTAATGCTAACCAGCTGGATTAGCCTACTGAGCCGTGGTGGCGCAGTGGTTAGAGTGCACTACTGCAGGCTACTTCTGCTAACTGCCGCTGACTGCAATTTGGCAGTTCAAATCTCACCAGACTCAAGGTTGACTCAGCCTTCCATCCTTCCAAGGTGGATAAAATGAGGACCCAAATTGTTGGGGGAATATGCTGACTCTGTAAACCACTTAGAGAGGGCTGTAAAGCCCTGTGAAGAGGTATATAAATCTAAGTGCTATTGCTATTGCTAAAGTGGAAAGACCAGGGATCATAAAATGCGAATTTTGTCTCTTGGGAGTAAAACAGGAGAAGCCCTCTCTTTCTTTCTTCTGGAACACATTATACTCAGCTTAGATTGCTGCAGTCAGGACTTGAACAATTGTTGCACACCCTGCTACCAGCTCATTAATGGTTATGGTTGGCAGACCAAGTTGTGAAAATGTGCTTCTTGTTCTCACTGGAGAATCAAGTATTACCCACACCTACCATTTCAGGAAGACACAGCCCTTCCTGAACAGACTTAACACTAAGCCTCAAAGTCCAATTTCCTTCTGACCATGATCTTCTCTGGATGTTGTTTCATTTTGCTTATCATTTTCTAGCCCATGTATCAAGGAGAAGTCAAAAGAAGTAATCAGGAGCTCTCCAAAATAACCAGTCAGGCACAAAGAAGAGTTAAAAATATCTCCATCTGCTAGCTATTCTGTTATTGGGAAATTTGTTCTACTGTCTTCTTTGTTTGTGTTGTATTAAGAAAAATATACAGTAAAGGTAGGAATGATTTGGTCAGGAAGTAATAAATATATTGTTTGCCACTTTGCCAAGACCTGCAGATTTGTGAGTGTGGTCTTTTCACAAGATCTGCAAAGGCCCAAGGACCAGGAAGATGTGGCTTGAATTTCCACCATAGACACAAACAAGAATGTTTCCTTAGCTGAAGTTGAAGCCAATCATTCAAATATAACTTTCAAAGCTTGGGTTAAAATTAATTATTGCCCCCATTAGACAGGCCTCCCTAAACTTAGGCAAGGTCTTCAAAAATACAGTACTTTGAGCAGAGACATTCAACTCAGACCACTCACTAAAAGTATCAGTTTTATTTTCTGTGAGCATTAAATTTCCTAAAAGCGCCCATTAATACTAGTTCAGCCAGAAAGAACTACTCTAGTTTTTTCTGGTTGGACTTCCAAACACTAGATTAATTCAAGAGGAAGGAAGGAAGGAAGGAAGGAAGGAAGGAAGGAAGGAAGGAAGGAAGGAAGGAAGGAAAAGTTGTGTGATTTTGCTTCCCATTCTGAGCAGTAATTAATCCTCACAGTTTGAAAGGGATTATGAAGTTCAGAATCCAGTCATGGAAAAAAACAGAGAGAAAGTTCTATGGAAAAAAGGAGACTTTTTGGAGAGAAACTTCCTGACTCAGAAGCTGTGCATGATAATGATTTACTGTAGCCATGGTAACATGTGTGACGTTCAAATGGCTAAATCCTGTTATGAAACCTTCAGAAAAAAACACAACTCATACACAACAACAGATGCTGAGTTGTCTTAGTATAGCCTTCTTCTTTCTCCTAGTCAGCTTAAAAACAATCAGTAGGACCCTCACACAGAAAATATATATATCTAGATATACCTATATATATCCATCCCATTCATTGATGTCTTAGAAAGACAGTGCAACCTTATGTACGTTTACATCAAATACCCCTACTAAATTTTACAATAAGCCACCTTGTAGAGTGTTCAGAAATGCAGCTGTCAATCCTTCCAGGTAACCCAGATAGGAAAGGCAACAAGATGAGCAAAATCTACTTTATTGTAAGACTATATTAAAAGAATCTAGCAAGTGTGAAGGAACAAATCTCCTGCAGCCACTTTTAACTGCCTGGTCAATTAAGGGGAGGTCCTTCCTAAATTTCTTCTTTTGGCTATTAAGCCTCTGGGGGCTTCTCCCTCTCTTGTCTGATTGTTTCCTAGGCAGTATCTCCTTCTCTCATCCCTCAAGGTCATTTCCACATACCATTATAGCAGTTAAAGTTGCATATGATATACTGATGTCTGCATTGGTTGTGCCTTCTCTGCTTATGGTTTTTCTGAGGACCTAAATACTGGACACAGCCAGAGAACCTATTTATAAGGTGGCATACTTCAGTCTGTGAGGCAATGGAAGTATGTCAGTCAACGTTTTCCAGTGTCTGCTTTACCATGACAGTATGTCAAGGCAAGCGAGACAGTACAGCAATGTTTCTCAACCTCAGTAACTTTAAGATGGGGAAACTTCAAGTTGAAGTCCCCCCCCCCATCATAAAATTGTTGAGAAAGATTGGTCTACAGCAGGGGTGTCAAACTCAGTTTTATTGAGGGTCACATCAGGGTTGTGTTTGACCTCAGGGGGCTGTGGCCAGGGTGGGTGTGGCCAGCTTGTGTTGGGGGTACCTGTGGTGGCCCAAGCACTCTGCCACAGAAAATGGGCTCGGGGGGGCGCATGTGGCCCTCCTGAGCTCTGTTTTCACTGGCAGAGGCACCACGGGCCAGTCCTTCACTGTTTCCAGGGTGGCCTTGTGGACCAGATTTAAAAAACTTGTGGGCCCACAGGTTGGGATTCGGCCCACAGGCCTTGAGTTTGACACCCATGGTCTACAGAATTTAGGCCAAATTAAGGTGTAGAAATTAGTGAATTTTCCACTCAGTGGAAGAAAAAAACCCTCATCCACCAACTGCACCTCCAAACATGGGCTGGGGGAAGAAGCAAACATTAACTGCTAGAATGACAGGTTTAGTCATCTGTTAGACATTTTACCATTTACTTTACAGCAATTTGTTGATGATTTTTCTACTGACTGAGAAATCCACCAACTACTGCACCTAAACCAGTGGAGGATTTAGACATAGTGAGACCCCAACCCATGGGAAATTGTAGAGAGCCTACTTGACAAGCACTAACAGAGAATAAGACTGTGTAACAACTGAATTTGGCAACAATGCCACCAGAAAAACCTAAGAGAGCCATGATAGGATTAGGAAGGTCTCATTTTGAATGCATGGAAGTAGAAATAAAGCCTATCTTTATCTAGTAATGGGGCTCATGTGAGCTATAGAGGAGTGCTTACTTTTGTGGAGATTTTCATGTATGAAATAATAAAACTGTATCTGATTAAAATAATAATAATAAAAAAAACTGAAATTTTGGGAGGCCCCTTCAGATTGTGAAGCGTGTTTAGCTTACACTGAACAAAGTCTGTCCTTGCCTTAATTTGCCCCACAGAAAACCCATGGGACAGTGAGAAAGGTAGTCCTCGCCTTACAACAGTTCATTTAGTTCAAAGTTACAACAGCATTGAAAAAATGTGACTTAGGACCGTTTTTCACACTTACGACCGCTGCAGCTTCCCCCTTGGTCATGTGATCAAAATTCAGACTCTTGGCAACTGATTCATATTTATGACTGTTGCAGTGTCCCGGGATCATGTGAATCCCTTTAGCAACCTTCTGACAAGCGAAAGCAATGGGGAAACCAGATTCCAGACTTAACAATCATGCTACTAACTTAACAACTGCAGTGATTCACTTAACAACTGTGACAAGAAAGGTTGTAAAATGGGGCCAAATTCACTTATTCACAAATTAACACATGTCTTGCTTAGCAACATAAATTTTGAGCTCAGTTGTGGTCATAGGTTGAGAACTACCTGTATGACCATCAAAGTTCTTGTCTCAACAATGGCCATGCTGGCTACAGCCTTTTGCAGAGCACCAAGAACTGAGGAAGACTATGTAGGGCAGACTTGTCAAACTCAAGGCCCGCGGGCCAGATGTGGGCCACAATGTGATTAGATCTGGCACACGGGGCCACCCTGAAAATGCTGAGGGGCTGGCCCCCACCACCTCAGCCCTGGCCCATAGGACTTTATTCATGTAGATCAGGGATCCTCAAACTACAGCCCACGGGTCAGATATGGCCCACCGAAGGCATTAATCCGGCCCACGAGGGACCATGAGGCTGCCCCTCCCACATTGCTCCATCCACCCACCAGACCCCATCCACCTTCTGGAGGCTGATGAGGCCAAAGGTGGGATGCGTGGGGGCCTCAGGAGACCAAAAACAGGCCCATTTTTGGGTGGCAGAGTGGTTCTGGAGGCGCCCCAGAGACAGAGAGAGAGAGGGGGGAGGGACACACACACACACAAACACACACACACACACAAACAGAAGTCACACACACACCCCAAGGCAGCCACATCCCTTCACTAACCTGCTTTCCACCCCCAGGAACATAACAAATTAAAGTTTAATTTATGAGTATTGTTTAATGGACTGCTAAACTGGCCACTCCCATACAGTCACATGACCACCTAGCCACACCCACACAGCTGGTCCGGCTATCCAACAGTCTGAGGGACCATGAATTGGCCCCCTGTTTAAAAAGTTTGAGAACCCCTGATGTAGATCATCCTCTAAGTGGCCTCAATGACTCTCTAAAACAGGGGTGTCAAACTCAATTTCATTGAGGGCTGCATCAGCATTATGGTTGCCCTCAAAGGGCCAGTTGCAAAACTATGAGGGCAACCATAATGCTGATGCAGCCCACAATGAAATTGAGTTTGACACTCCTGATATAGGGCCTGCATTTTTTACAAGTAAAATCTCAGATCTGTCCCTCAATATGAACACTGGTGGTGGTATTAAGCCAGTTCGGACTGGTTCAGGCAAACCGGTAGTGGCGACCTGTGGGCGCAGTAGTGGTGACCTGTGGGTGGGCCTGCCCACTTGCCCTGGCACTATGCCACCCT